TGGGGCAAGGTTTGGGCTCTGTGCCATCTTCCGGTGAAGATTCTTCGTGTTGATCGGTGGCCATGTTGTATTGCCTCCTTTCCACGTTTCCACCACCTCCCCTCCCTCCGTGAGCTGAAACCCCTAAAGCTATGGCAAACGCCACCCACACCAGACACTGCACCGCCACCAGAGCTTGCCAGAACCGTACGTTAGACAAGAGGGACGCTGCTCCAGTCTCTTGCCTGGTGTTGGCAGAACTGCTGGCACCATCCTTGGCCAGTCTTGGGTCCGCCATGTCTGGGATCAGGTTTCTCTTCTTGGCTTGGCTTCGTTTCCGAAGATTTCAGGGCACTTCCCTCTCCTGCTGCACGCCCGTTGGTGGCTGACAAGGCCGATTCGTGATCAGGTATCCCACTGGGTTTTCACCTTGGCGTCGCCATGGCAGCAGCTGACCCCGGACGATTGAAGGAAAGCCCGGGAGGACCCGGTATATCTGTGTCTGGGCTGCTCCAGAATACATCCTGTATACACACTAGCCTAGCCTATGGTATACCAGATCCTTGGGTGTACTGTACCCGAGTATTGTCTGGGTCAATCCAAAATAACATTCTACACATTGCATCCGGTGGGTGCATGGATCTAACCTAGATAAGGCAACAGCAACAAGTAATTTTCATGGATGACATCAGCGCGCGCACACACACGAACACACACACACACACACGAACACACACGAACACACACACACACACGAACGAACACACACACACGCACACACACACGAACGAACACACACACACACGAACGTCCCTGAAAACAAAACATTCTTCACGAAGGTAAATATAGGTCCTGGCATAAAAGACCTACCGTGTTTTATCGCCATATTTCTTGTTTACGATCTCAAAGTTGAACATGTACGAATCTTGTTTTGGATGTGGAGGTTACATTTGGAGTCTGCGGAGGACGTCATCCATAAAATTTACTTGCTCTGGCCTTAATAATACATCACATCGCATACCACTGCGGTTTCATGTAAAACGTGCGCAGCTAGTACGTGTTGTACTGTTGTTACGCAATCTGTCGCTGCCGTTGGCCGATCAGTCAGCCGCTATAGGAGGAGCGTCAGACTGGAGCACGGCATGGCGACAACACGCTGCCTTCAGTTTTTGTGCATGACGCTGATGATCCTCTGTAACGACAAGACCGTGGCAGGTGACATCATCGGAGGGAAAGGAGACCGCGGGTCCACAGACTGCCCTGCCGTCAAAAACGGGTGAGTTTTTATGGAGGAACGAGGACTAGCGCTAACTGTACGGACTGTGTCTAGAAGGGAAACGGAGGAGAGTCTTTGGTGGCTGATATACTGGGGTTGGGGTTAGCAACAGAGAGAGAGAATACCTGTACGTGTGTGTGTGTGTGTGTGTGTGTAAGTGTGTGCACGCGTGTGTGTGTATGATTACTTTTCGTTACTCGAGCACTATTTCGTAATTCAAGAAAACACACTCGAAATCGAGTCCATATTTTGGATAACACTATCGACTAGCCCTGTAGGACCTGGACCTTCCACGCACCTGCGGGGTTTCCCACGGCGAGACACCTGCCGCAGCTCCGAGCCACCTGGAAGCACCTGGAACAGCACCTGCAAACAGCTGAGGGGATGTTGGAACAGGTCAAGAGGCACCTGGGTTCTCCGGACATGTGTATCGGTAGGATAACTGACTATTACTTTTCCTCGGGCTCGTGGCCCATATCGATACAAAGCTTGTAAGGTAATAAAACACGAAGAAAACTACCTATGTCCTACCAGGGAGGTTCAATCGGACCAGATCAGAGTATTTGAAGGTCAAAAGCGTATTTTTATTATTAGTTTGAATACTAGTACATGTATGCATTTCCTTGACAAGCACTACTAGTTTATCACTAACACCTTTCTTTATCAGGGATGTTCGTTGGCGTACTGTTATGTGTTTTGTTATGTGCAACTTGTGTCGACAAAACGTCAACAAAAAACGTCGACGAACTGTTGACTTTGTTTTCAGACTGCTCGGCCATTTTCCACTTGTCGAACGGGACGGCCAAAAGCGGCGTGTACACCATCCGCCTGGCGGGGGCGAACCGACATGTCCCCGTCTACTGTCGCATGGAGGGCGGGCAGGGCTGGACGGTCCTCATGCGGCGTCAGGGCGGCTCCGTGGACTTCTACCGCACCTGGGAGGAGTACAAGGTACCGATTATATTATGTACAACTAAGTTCTTTGATTTCATTTGATGCTTCCAGTCTGGCCTTTTGATTCAGTCTTGGATTTATGTTTATATGATATATGATTTCTGTACTTATGTTTATGTTCATGTTTTGGTGTCTTATATATATATATATATTTAAAGCCCATATGGGCTGGGCGACAAAAGTCGCAAGACACGTCAATAAAAAGTCATTCACTCACTCATTCATTCATTCATTCATTCATTCATTCATTCATTCATTCATTCATTCACTCACTCACTCACTCGCTCACTCACTCACTCACTCACTCACTCACTCATTCATTCATTCATTCATTCATTCATTCATTCATTCATTCATTCATTCACAAGTTCGGCTTCGGCAACCTGTCCACGGAGTTCTGGCTCGGCAACGACAACATCCACCTGCTGACCAACCAGGCCAGGTACGGGCTGCGGGTGGATTTGGAGACGTTCGACGGAGAATCGAGCTATGCCCAGTACCGGAGCTTCTCCATCCAGGACGAGGCCTCCAAGTACAGGCTGACCCTCGGGAGGTGGCTCAACGGGACCGCCCGCGACGCTCTCCGCTTCAGCAACAACTTCGCCTTCGCCACATGGGACAATGACGCTGCTACCGCGATGGCCGTCAGGTTCAGGAGTGCGGGGTGGTTATTCAATACGTATGTCCCCAACCTACACGGTGTGTACTACACTCCGCAAACCGCGCCGACCAAAACCAAATGGCCTCTAGCTCTTGATACCATCAGGTGGTCCCTCAGGATAGATGAAAGGGGCAAAATTTACCCCTTACTGAAGTTTGTTGAGCTGAGGGTCGCACCTGAAGTTACATGAATGATATGTTGACGATTACCTGTCAGTAGCCTCCATAGCATGCCAAAAACTGGGGGTTTTGGGGGGTCTTCAGGGTCTTTGGGAGCTTTCATGTGCTATTTTCTGATTGCATATAGACAACATAGCCGGCCAGGTTGAATTACCCCCGTTTTAGAACTGGGCTAATCAGAAAACAGCCGAATTGACCACCACCCCCCTGCTACGGAGGCTATCCTGCCAGGGCTTGCTGTAGACCCTTGTCGATGACAGTGTCTTAACCCCGATGAAAATTCTACAACAAAAATACAAAAATAATCGTGCGACGAACGTGACCACGCCTGTACATTGTATAGCCACGTTTCCACATGTTCTGAAGTAGAATGTTCCTAAAAAGAATTAGATGTTGAATTGAATAACTTTAGATGTTGAATAGTTTTCTTCTTTTTTCTAAATTCACTATCTGGCGACACTTTGTACTAATATCGATCTAGATGCTATGGTAATGTTAAGCTACCGTGCTCCACTCCTCTGTAGTACAATATTGTTTATCATGTACAAAGCAAGCGCTGTGGTAGACCAATCAGAAATATTTTCTTCACATCTTGCTTGATGGCTAACATACTTCATGATCCAATCCTCCCGAGTAAAATTTCTGTTGCATTCCGCAGCTCTCAGACATAGTGATTTCCGTTCATGAATATAATGATCACAGAAACCTGCTTAGAAGTTGCTATCGGGAGTATGTTTGGTGTTTTCCGTGGTATTCACGTCGACATGAAAAGGGCCGGGGCCGGGGAAGTGTTGTAACTTCAATGAAAGACTGTCGGGGAAGTGTTGTAAATGAAAGACTGTCGGGGAAGTGTTGTAACTTTAATGAAAGACTGCCGGGGAAGTGTTGTAAATAAAAAGACTGTCGGTGAAGTATTGTGACGGGTGTGTTTACATGGACTACAGTCAGTGCAACTCACTCAGTCACTCAGTCACTCACTCACTCACTCACTCACTCACTCACTCACTCACTCACTCACTCACTCACTCACTCACTCACTCACTCACTCACTCACTCATTCACTCACTCACTCACTCACTCACTCAGCACCGCATGGCCAGGGAGCGTAACACCTCTCCGTTTTTAATAACTTAAGAAAAACAATATGTTTACTGTGAGTTTTTGTGTGAGTTTGTGTTTGTGTGTCTGTAAACAATAAAAATAATGATTGCGAAATGTAGAGTGAGTGCAGTATAGCTAGAAAAGCCAATGGGCAGGAACCTATTCAAAACTTTTTAATGTGCTGTAAAAATAAAGTTTTGGACAATAGTACCACAGTAGACAGAGGTGGAGTGCCGATGTGCCCACGTGGACGTTACCAAGATTCAATGCAGACCAGTCTTAGGGTTGCTCCCAAATGATATTGACCGATTCATTATCCTAATTACCAAATTCTTGGGCGTATTCTTGCAACATTCCGTATGTAGAAATTAAGAAACTCTCTTGCTCCACACTACAGTAAGCACGATGTCAGGCGAATAGTGTGAAACACTATGGTTATTCAGTTTAAACAATATTATGTTTTCAATTCTATGACAATTTATCAACCAGATTCCACCCGTCGGGGTTGAATGCCAGCCCAGAGATAGATCTAGCGGAAGCATACTAGTATCCCCGACGCCCCCATGCAGGCCCTCTAACAAGTTTGGCATGATCAGAAAATGGCGCTTTTGTGCTACGGGACTACCCTGGGCTTTTAAAACAAATTGTTGGGTACTTTTTAGAGTTTTCCTCGTTAGAATATTTTGATTAAGTGTGCAGCAGAATGTTTGGGAGTTACAGGCTGTAGATTTGTGCCGTTCTGGTGATGTTTTGAAGAGAAAATGCGGATTTCCTGACCTGGCGAATTTTGGAGAAGACAGACAAAATGGCGAGACAGTTGAAGAGTAGCGTGGCATGGAGACGACTTCGCTTTAATTTGTTGCAGCCTTGCAGGTAAACCAGCAAATAATTTGTTTGGCTGACATTCTTTCTAGCAACTATAGTACGAGTACAAGTTATATTCCGTAAGAAATGACCTAGTTCTGTATTATTTAGAGAGCGACCGTTCCTAATTTTAGACAAGCTTTAAAATATTCTAAGAAGTTGCCGCGTTTTCAACAATATTTGCAATGTTTGGTGCGCTTGTATGATATGACATGATAATGTTACATGTCTTTTTTGTCAATTGTTCAGCGTTTTGAGGTTAT